CACCCGCCCCCTCCTCACATGGAAGCCTGGTGTTCAGATCAATATTTGCAGAAGTAATGTGCAGTTAAATTAAAAAAAAAAGTTTCACAAATTGATTTATTTGTAGTTTTTAACGCAGGGTTTGAACTCCGCAGAGGCTGTTGTGTACAAGTGCCCCCCTCCCACTGCTGTGCAGTAACTGTCACCCCCTCCGTGTTGTCCGCAGAAGATTTTCGGTGCAGAGGTGCGCCCGGTGCCACCTGGGGATCTCGGCCTCGGAGATGGTGATGCGGGCCCGGGACCTGGTCTACCACCTGAACTGCTTCACGTGCACCACGTGCAGCAAGATGCTGACCACCGGGGACCACTTCGGCATGAAGGACAGCCTGGTGTACTGCCGCCTGCACTTTGAGACTCTCCTGCAGGGAGACTATCAGACACACTTTAACCACCACGCGGACGTGGTCCCGCACAAAGGCCTGGGTCCGGCCAACGCGCTCGGACTATCCTACTTCAACGGCGTGGGGACGGTGCAGAAGGGCCGGCCCAGGAAGAGGAAGAGCCCGGGGCCCGGGGCCGAGCTGGCTGCCTACAACGCGGGTAAGAAGTCCRAACGAGCGCAGAGCGTGCGGGCAGAGGAGGGAGTTTATTTAGTTCACCTAAAAATCTTATTTTACATCAAACTCATCTGATCAAAGTCACAGCTGTAAAATGAAGAAATGAGCTGATGAATCAAATTAATGAAAACTAATTTAYTCAAACAGGAAAAACTTTTGCTAAAAGTTTCCAAAAGTTGCGTTTTAACCCTTTGACTGCTGCCTTGTTTTTGATGAGACCTTCACCCTGAAGCTCTACCCTGGTGTCACTTTTAACGGAAATTTAATTTATTTAAAAGACACGTTTTCATTATCTTATCAAAAGAAAACCGATTTCATTTTATTCGCATTTAAATAAAAAAGACAAAGCCCMGGAGCTTTAAAATGAGAAAACTGTAAAACCTGTCAGCCTGATTTAACCTGAGGAGAATAAACATCACATAATAAACAAATGAAATCCAGGATATTTGGGTTGGACTGTTCTGGCAGCTTTAAATTTATTATTTTACTGAAAGTTAAACTCTTTAAAGGATAAAAAGATGTATTTAAGCTCTGTGGATGTTTGGCTTTGGCTTTTTTTCCCCCTTCATGTCTTCTTTTGAGGAATGAAAAGTTTTTTTCTTTTCTTTTTTTTTAATGTTCCGGTTTTTGCTTTCGCCCTTTTCCACTTGTCAGGCTTCATACCCGTCTACAGACCCCAACCAGCCCCCACCCACACCTCCTTCTTCTTCTCTCTCTCTCTCTTTCACACACACACACACACACACCCAGCAGGAGGCCCTTTGCATTGGGACAGGGCCAGAGTGGGTGTACACCAGCCAGGTTTTGGTGATTTGATGAGTTAGTCACTGGAAGAGGGAGCAGGGAGCTCTGGAAGTTTGGAACAGCAGCAGCTCTGGCTTCAGTCTCACTCTTTATGCTCTGACTTTATACTTCRGCCTGTCCATGTAAAACCACGTGCTTACTGCAACATCAAAGTTGTGTCCGGCTGGAACATCAGACATTTGGTTCATTGTGATTGGCTCCCCTCAGACTTTCTGCCTCATGAGATCAGCAGGTTAGGATCAACCAGCAGCAACAGGTGCACASATCACAGCAGTGTGATGTGTCTCCTGCAGCCGAAGCATCCTCGTGTTCACGATGGCTTCGCTTTTAGTTTCCACGTAAAGAAAGCATCAGCTCAGACTGTTCCAGCCTCTGTMCTCTGCTCATGAAAACAAATGAAGGTGATGAATGCTGGAGCGAAGAGGCAGTGCGCCCTCTTCTGTTTCCAGTCTGAAACAGCAGCAGTGTTGCATTGCCCAACAATGAGCTGACCCTCCAGCAGCAGCAGCTACATCAGCAGCTTCAGCTCACATTACCTCTGCACTTTCTGCTGCTGGTAGCACAAGCACTGACAAGCTGCTTTTTTAAAGAAAAAAAAATCTTGTTTTTGTTTTGTTAAAATGCTGCAGCATATGCTTTGGCCAGAAAACAACATTTGTTCTGCCTGGTGTGTATGGGCTAATTAAGTGAAGTGTTATTCTGATGCTTTTCACTCACTTTATATTCATCATTTTGCAGCGTTCGGATATTGAACTGTTATGCATGCAGCAACACCTTGAATATTGCCAAGAAATTTGCAGGCTGGGCGGAATATATGTGTGTCGTTGTTGTTGTTGATGTGTGTGTGTGTGTCTGTGTGTATGAGTGTGTGTGCGCTTGCCAAAGCCACAGTTACACCTCTTCCCAGGATAGAAAGACAGACACAGACAGACATGTGCTGAGGAGAGGAGGCTGAGCTGCAGCTGGAAGGAACAGCTGCTGGCTCTCAGARACACTTTGGTTTCAATTTCTGAACTCAAATCAAAATAAGAGTGTGGCCGCTGTAGCTCGGTGGTCAGCGTGGTCGTGTAATCCTGATGGTTCGAGCCCAGGTTGTGTCAGGAAGGGTTATCAGGCCTAAAACATGGCTCCTGCTGTGGCGACGCCCCTCCAGAGGAGCACCGCTGAGAAAAGAACAATCGGAGTGAAAATGTGACAAACCTGTAAAGAGATMTTTCTCCTCTTATAGTTGTTAGTTTTCAGTGTTTGCACTGCGCTGCAGCTGCCCTGGTTATCTTCAGCTTTGGTAAATCCACAGTCAGGACCTCACATGGCTCTTTCAAACTGCCTGATCAGATTAAAGAGTTTTTCTTTAAAGGAACATAAAATYGATTTAAAAAGCAGAATCAAATCAATGCTTTGGTTAACTTGAAGCTTTTTTTGCATTTAAACCAAATTTAACTTATTTTATAAACCACATTTCATGTGTAACACAAGGTGCATTACAGCAGATATAAACAAAGTAAAAAAAAAGCACAAACAGGATGATTTTAAACAGCTGTAAAATGAATAAACAACCCTGATTATATGAAGGAACAGGAGATGAGGAAACACCAGAGGCAGGGCTGATTTAAACATGAGTAAAATCCAGACASTAAATAAGAGAGGAAAAATAAACGGAGGTCCAAATAAAATAAAAAGTATTGTTTGTTTCCATAAACTAAATCTAAACGTACTTAAGTAAAATGGGTAATTTAACGAAATGACATTATATTCCAATTCAATTAGGAGTCAAACTATAAATAGGATTAAACCTTCAGATTAAAAGAACAGAAGATTTYTGAGTAAATATTTCATTAAAGTCAGACTGAAAGAGTGAATCCTGAGTGGGACTTGTGTGGACTTAAAGTCATCCTTTAGAGAAAAACGGACGCTGATTCTAGTTCTGACTCTCCCTCCTGCTGTTCCCCGCAGCTCTGAGCTGCAACGAGAACGACGGCGAGTCCATGGACCGGGACTCCCAGTACAGCTCCAGCCAGAAGACCAAACGCATGCGGACCTCCTTCAAGCACCACCAGCTGCGGACCATGAAGTCCTACTTTGCCATCAACCACAACCCTGATGCCAAGGACCTGAAGCAGCTGGCCCAGAAGACCGGCCTGACCAAGCGGGTCCTACAGGTCAGGCTCCTCAAWCCTTTCTTTTGTTTCCCAAATTCATTTATTTTCATTTGGATTTTTCTGAATACCACCTTTCATGATGTAAACATTTTATTTTTTGCATCTAATAAGTGAAACAATTTAAAATGGATTATTAACATTTCAACATTTAAATAGTAAAATATCCKCAATTTCTTTAATCTTAACAACTTTAACAAAGATACAGGACAAACAGTTCCACTACAACAGAACACTGAATGTTTAGTTTGKCTGTCAGTCATTTCTCTATTAAACACATTGTAGTGTTTGTTTCATGGGAGAGGAAAGAAACATGTCTGCATTTCATAAATGAGCTGTTGGATATTTAAACTTCCTAAAACAGAGGTTCTCAAACTGGGGGCCCAGGACCCCCAGGGGTCTACAAGCTGTATCTTGGGGGTCCTAAAAAAATGCAATAAATTGTTACTTTGTATTTTTAATTTAAAAAATGCATATGGGGAACAATGCTTTAGTAAAACAAACATACTAAACCAAACAAAATATAATATTCCCATGGCATTTAGAGGTTTAAATTATTAGTACATTATTTTAAAATAGCATGGGGTTTCTGAGGGGGTCCCCAGACCCAAAAAGTTTGAGAAAACCCTGTCCTAAAAGACACTATTTTTTCATGTTTCATGCAGAAAATAATAAAACTGCAGGAAATTCTTAGAAGTGATATTTGATGCACTGATGATGACGAGGAGAAAGCTGAGTTGTTTTGCTGACGTTTACTTTTTTACCCTCACCGGAAGTTTTATTAAAACCTTTCAGCTGGATGAAGACAAAGTCTTGTTCTTTAATCCGTTTAGTTTATTTATTTTTCTAGTGAAGTGTCTGTTTTTGCACAGGTTGCTTTAACCTGTTTAAGTTTGTGAGGATGAGTTAGCTGAGGGGATAAGCTAACGTTTATTGTTGTTTRTTTCTGTTTGTTGCCGTGTTTTCTTCCTGCTACGTCAGTCGTTCTGATGAAACTTACTGAAAACTTCTTGGTGGAGGTTGTTTGGCTGTAAATGTTGATCTGAGTGGTAAATATTTTCTGGGTGTCTGAAGCTGATTGAAGGTCCCTCTCATTCTCCACCAGTCACAGGAAGCTACAGGAGCCTGCAGTGGACAAACATTAAATGTTTAAAAAACAAAAACAATCTAAATTTAAGAAATTCTGCTCATCTGTCTGCATTTCCACAGTGTGGAAATTATTGGGCTGTAGGTTATTGACACACATGTACACAAACACACACACACACACACACACACCCCTACACACGTACATCAAACCCATAAATGTTCCTTCTAATATTAAACAATATTTAATGAGGTTTTCTGCAACGCAGCTTTTTGATTTTAGCAGCTGTCTTCTGTGAATAAGCTGAACTGAAACAGAATTTTAAATAATACCAATAATACCAAGAAATAATAAAATACAACAAAATCAACAGTAAAAACTGTGAACATAGAAGCAGGTTTTATTCTCTTGTAAGAAAAGAAAATTGATTTTCTATTTGTTTTAATGAAGAACGATACAATGTGKTGATAAGAGAGCCATGAAAAACAAAATGTGCTTTAATATGTGGAAAGACTGCAAAACAGTTTGATTTTCATCAGTGAGAAGAGAAGAAACAGGAAATTATCTGGGGAACTGAGAAGAAGAAAAACGAGACAAAAAGCTTTCTGAATAAAAAAAAAACAACTTCTGACAAAAACAAAAAAAAAAGCCAAGCCATTCTGCTGCTTTAATTAACGCTCGCAGGAAACAAAGCAGCCGTTTTGCTTTGATGCGTTTGAGTCGGGGTGCCTGTTATTCCAGCTGAAGAGCCTCTCCTGTCGTTTGTTTCCCATGGCTCCGTCATGATTCCGTCTAACGTGCTCCAGCACTCGCCTGGGCTCGTAACGCCTCCTCTCTCAGTCTGCAGCTCACACGTGCAGCTTTTCTTCTTCTGGAGTCGAGTGGAAATAAACGGTCATCAGGGACAGCGAGGAGGAGGACGCCGGCTCTAACACCCAGCTGCCGGCCATTCCTGGTCAGGACTACCTGAAAATACAGAGGAAAACATTCATCTGGTTGGAAACATGAGAATAATGCTTCACACACACACACACACACACACACACACACACACACACACACACAC